TCTAATAATAACAGTTACCATTTTTTGAGTTTTTGTTAGGCAAAAGGCCCAATGCTGGGTGACATTAGAAGATAATATCATTTAAATCTCATAATAACTTTGCTAAATAGGTACTGATGTCACCTGCATTTCACACTATTGGAGTTAGAATATATTTGTTAATACAGATAAAGCCATGGATGGATCATTGGTTGGGTAGATGGATGGATGGATGGGTGCGTGGGCGGGCAGATTGATGGACGGACGGATGGATGGATAGATGGATGGATGGACGGATGGATGGATGGGAAAATGCCAGAGTTTGGACAAGAACAAAGAAAATAAGGCAAATGCTAATGCCTGCAATGAAAGTTGTAGACTAACCAGAAAACTGATTTTTTAAAATAGAGGCAATGAGGAGGATAAAATTTTTTTCATATAAGAAATCTAAACACATGATCTGAAAGGATTTAGGATCTCTTTCAGATTTAAGTGAAGTTCTCAGCAATGTCTTCTGTATATCAAAATCTTAGGGTTTCTGAGAAATTTCAGTTTATAGAGGCAATGGAATTGTTTGTACACTACTTATCTTGGAAGATCCAGCCTATGTGGTTGCCATGCATCACTAACCACGGATGCACGGATGGACAGATGCACGGATGGACGGATGGACGGATGGACGGATGGACGGATGGAGCAGCTCCCAACAAGGCAAATAGTGTGCAAGAAAATCTTAAGAGTCTGCATATATTTTCTGGTGGTCTTGGCTGCACAAAAAAGCTTAACTTCCTGTCATCTCGTGACGTGGATGGGCTCACCGTTGTTTACCCTCTTTTCTCATCTTGGTCTTATGCTTACCTACCTTCTCACTAAGTTGTACGAGCTGCAGTCATTTTAACTCTCACACTGGTGGCTGAGTTGAATTAATTAAACAACCGGAGCTGGTTTGCTGTTATGCCCAGATTATCAGAACACTCATATAAGCTGGGACTCGACATCTCTCCATGACAACCCAGAAGGGAGGCAGGTTGAGTTGAATTTGAACTATTCTTCAGTCTAAGCAACGTCTAACTCATCCATTCACCTATTCAGTTATTTACTCATTCATTCAACGAATATTTACTGAAAGCCCCATGTGCATCAGCCAAGTTCTAGGTTCCGAGAACATAGCAATAACAAAAGCAGCAAGACCCTTGCACTCATGGAGTTTTTGTCGAGACAGACACATCACCCACGGGTGATGGGGAGGGCAGAGGGACTGCATAACATCACATGTCTCTCTACTTTAATATCCTTGGTTTAGCATGATGCCTTGACAAGCCATTGGGGTATAAAGAGGAGATGTCATTTGTAAAGAGTCTGCCAAAGTTAAGAAACTGTAAACTTTTGTATATTAAACAGGAATTGGGGTGCAAGAGAGCAAAGGAAAAAAGAGGAGGGCCATAGAAAAAGAGGAAGGAGAAAAAGGGGGCTGAGAAACATGAGAGCCAGGAGAAAACTTGCTGGGGGAGCGGGGTGGGGGGGGGACCCGCTCCCCCAGCAAGGGAAAAGTTCCCGGGGTGGGGCTGGTTGAAGGATCTCAAGAACTACAAAGCGAGCCAGCCAGCCCCATGCCATCACCTTTGAATCTTCAGGACCTTCTGCCACACACCCAAATGTCCTCTGTGAGTGGTGTTCTGAAGAAACAGGAGAAGGCTGTGTTCTACATCCTGGTCTGCTTGGGGGCAAAAAAAAAGAGCTTTCAGGACTCAACTGAATAAAATAAAGAGTTCAGTAGGAGCAGGAAGTCAGAGGTAGACTACTATTTATTACACGCAGCCTGTAAGTGGCACAGCCAAGCCTAGAACGCGTCTGTCTGTCTTTGGGCAGGCGAAATGTTGAAATCACAAGACTTACTCCACCCGCCCACTTGCCACTTTCCAAGCCTATTTCTCAAAGCTGTAACACCATCTAGTGGCTCTTGTTAGTATTACGCTCCCATCACGCTTGCCAGCAAAAAAATAACCTGCCAAAAAGCAAGGCAAAAGCATTACCAGCGGCAACAAGACCTACTCTGCTTAGGCGAGGAGTATTTACTCAAACAAAAGAAGATCTCTTTTTACTAAAATATATTAAGGACTAAAGGGAGGCACTACATCACCTCCCAGCTCCCGGGCTCAAAGAAGAGCCACCGAAAGAAGTACTAATTTGGAGGCTTTTGTCTTGGGATTCAAATTGGTCATCTTTTGGTGCAGATCAAAACAAGATCTTCAGTAACAATATATTTTAAAAGCCGCTGACATCTTCCAAGTGGAGAAACTAACTATGCCAAAACCTTTCCAAAGATGTGAAACTCTTACCAAAGATATGGAAAGAATCAGAGATGGGAGGACATGATCTAGTTTAAGGTGCTTCATGAGGCACCTTTGTTTCCAAAGTCCCAAGAACGTAGGAACAGACATGAAAAAAGAAAAGCTGGCGATTGGGGCAAACATCCAACCTTGCATAATTTGAAGAAAGTGTTCGTGGGAACAGATGCGTTAAGGTGGAGACGGACTCGGACCAACTGGAAAACTGCGTCCTGCAGGTGGCGACTGAGAGAAGGGGGCGCAGGGTGCAGTCTGGCGGGTGGAAAGTGGGCGGGCAGCCCATGGGACCTTGTCATCTACTTGAGCTCGAGTATTCATTGAGTACCTACCCTATGCCAGGCCACACAAGAGATGCCGAAAAGAGAGACGCCAAGGCCCCACGTTCTAGGAGGGTTAGTTAGACATCGGTTAAGAGAGAAGGTTCTGGTGTCAGACTGAGAGAATTCAGATCCCAGTTGTGCTCTCACTCGGTGCATGACCTCGGCAGGTATCTTCACTTCCACATACCTCGCCTGTATAATGGACATACGACTAAGGAATCAACAAGACAGCATGTGGGAAGCATCCAACTCACAGGACTCCATTAAATGGTAGCTATGACAACAATGGAAGTGATGGAGAAAGTGGTGAGGATGGAGCACAGAGAAAGCCACCTCCCCAGTCTGGCAAATCAAGGAAGGTAAATCGGACCCGGTCTTTAGACCCAGGCAGTGAAATCTGACTCCGGCTAATTTAACTAATTTAACCCTGCGTCTTTACACTGCTACCTCCAAGAACATCAAGATCCGATTGCCAAAGCCTATGTCACAGGATCGCATCCAGCCTGCAAGAAAGACTAAGAAAGCAAGCTCTGACTTTTTCAACTTTTATAATAGGAGGAAGATTCATCAAGTGCAAGATTCTCAAAAAAAAAAAAAAGGAAAGGACAGGAATTCAGATGTAGCCACAAGAAAATATGCAGAAGTGTCCTCCAGAGGAAGCTTCCTGGGATAAATACCTTCTTAGCCAAGCCAAAACCAGTCCACATCCCATATTTAGCCACTGAAGAAACAGACACAGAGAGGTAGGCTTTTCCAAGGCCACAAGCTTTAGAAGGAGGGGAGGAGAGCAGGGCTGGGAACGGGGAGCAGTAGGGTTCAGGAAGAGACCCGGAGGAGACCTCTGATGGGGCTGTGGGAGACAGATGCTGAAAGGCTCAGCCAGAAGCTGATGTCCGGCCTAGAAGTAGGGGCAGCGGGGGGAGAACAGTGGGCAGTGTTCATCTCCAGGCCTGTGAAGAAGCTGGGATCCAGCACAGGAGAGTGTTGCATAATAAGGAAATTCTCTGGGTTTTATCCCCAGTTCCTGGGATGGAACCTCTAAACCCTTGAAAGTTCCCAAATGATAGGAGTATCTTTGTTATTCATGGGTGGGGGGGCTCAGACCACACATGAGTTTATGCTAATGAGGTGACCAACCATGTGATTAGGGGGTCAGGGCTTTGAGTCATGTGATGTCAGTGTGTCCTTCCGAAGGTCAAGGAGAGAAGGGAGATCAAGTTCAGACACAGGGTCATTGTGCCTGCATAATAAAATCTGAATAAACACTCTGAATGCCAGGAGCTCCAGTGAGCTTCCCTGGTTGGTAATCACACCTTCATGTGCCAGAGGGTGACACATCTTGAAGACATGGAAGCTTTACATTTGGAACCCTCCCAGATCTCATCCTATGTAACTCTTAATTTGAATGGTCTTTATTTGCACCCCTTATAATAAAACTGTAGTTATGGATGTCACACTCTACTGAGTTCTGTGAGTTGTTCTATTAAATTATTAGACCTGAGGGACAACTGGGAACCCCCAAATTGTAGCCAATCATCAGACATGTAGGTGGCCTGGGGACTCCTGAACTGGTGGCTGATATCTTAATTGGGGGCATTCTTGCTGGAGGCTGTACCTTTGACTTAACTCTGCGTAGTTGGCATCATGATTGCATTGCAAGGAGAAAGCTGTCATCCAGCAAAGGGCTATATCGTTCCAACACTATGGTTGAGCCTCTGTCAAGGAAAGTCCTCATTCAAAGGTAAAGAAGGCATGCCTTCTCACACCCCTCCTCTTCAGGTAACAGCCCCTTCCCCTTGACTCTCATTCATCGTGGATGGGGCAGTGCTTCAACCCCAGTGCTAGATGTGGTCATGTGACCAAGACCAGGCCAATCCAAGCATTACATTGATCTGATCATAGCCAATGGTTCAGGGATGGACGCCAAGGTAATCCAATGAAAGTCAATCCCTGAACTTCTTTTGGAATTAACGAGAATGAGCTTTCATCTA